CCAACTGCACCTTTTGTTTGTTTACCTATCGAGGCTTCACTTGTCACTGCACTTGGATTACAGATAACTGGTATGAATCCCAGGTAAAACAACAGGCAGATTTTCTGTAGAAGAAATTGGAAATGGCTACGCTTCCAAAGCCATCTTTGTTCTGACAGTTAGAGGACCTGCTGTCCTCCTGCTCTCTCCTTATAGGACTGTGGCTGTTAGTACTTGCCTGGCTCACACAGAACTCTCTCTCTCTCCAGTCCTCTCCCCCTACCACAGTCTAGCCAAAAAGCAGACCACCTAACAGTAGTGGAGAGAATCCAATAAGAGGTCACCAGGCATGTGAGGAAAACTTAGTGCAAGAAAAAGTGACAAGAAACATGCCAATGCAATAAGCAGAAGTAATCCCCCTGAAATCAGGGACAAGGCAAAGCTGCCCACTCTCTCCTTATCTCTTCAGCATAGTTCTTGAAGTCCTAACTAGAGCAATGAGACAACTAAAGGAGATCAAGGGGATTCAAATCGGAAAAAAGAAGTCAGAGTATCACTATTTGCAGATGATACGATAGTATACATGCATGACCCTCAAAACTCAATCAGAGAACTCCTACAGCAAACACCTTCAGCAAAGTGGCTGAGTACAAAATTAACTCAAAAAAAATCTGAAGCCCAAGTCTTGTATACAAAAGACAAACAGGCTAAGAAAGAAATTAGGGAAACAACACCCTTCACAATAGCCACAAATAACATAAAGTAACTCTAACCAAGCAAGTGAAAGACCTATATGAAAAAAAACTTCAATTCTCTGAATAAAGAAATTAAAGAAGATATCGAAGATAGAAAGATCTCCCATGCTCATGGATTAGTAGGATTAACATAGTGAAAATGGCCATCCTACCAAAAGCAATCTACAGATTCAATGCAGTTCCCATCAAAATGCCAACACAGTTTTTACAGACATTGAAAGAACAATTCCTTTTTATTTTTTAACTTTATTTTTATTAATTACAGTTTATTCCCTTTGCATCCCCTTTGTATATCCTTCCCTCCTCCCCTCCCAATCCCACCCTCCCTCTTCCCCACCCCTGTTTCTCTCCCAGTCCACTGATAAGGGAGGTCCTCCTCCCCTTCCATCTGATCCTAGTCTATCAGGTCTCATCAGGAGTGGCTGCTTTGTCTTCTTCTATAGCCTAGTAAGGCTGCTCCCCCCTCGGGGTGGAGGTGGTCAAAGAGCAGGCCATTCAGTTCATGTCAGAGACAGTCCCTGTCCCCATTACTATGGAGGCCACTTGGACACTGAACTGCCATAGGCTATCTCCATGCAGGGGTTCTAGGCCATCTCCATGAGTGGTCCTTGGCTGGAGTACCAGTTTCAGAAAAGACTCCTGTGCCCAGACTTTTTGGATCTTGTTGCTGTCCATATGCAACTCCTGTCCTCTATGGGGAAAAACAAAACAAAAAACAACAGAATAGGTAAAACAATACTGTACTAAAGATCTGGTTTACAAAAGATCTCAAGCTGTACTATAGAGAAAGAGTAATAAAAACGGCATGGTTCTGGCATAGAGACAGACTGGTGGACCAATGGAATCAAATCGAAGACCCAGAAATAAACTCACACACCTATGGAAACTTAATTTTTGACAAAGAAGCCAAAACCATACAATGGAAAAAAGACAGCATCTTCAACAAATGGTGATGGTCTAACTGGATGTCTACATGTAGAAAAATGAAAATAGACCCATATATATCACCCTGCACAAAGTTAAAAGTCCAGGTGGATCAAAGTTCTTCAACATAAAACCAGACACACTAAATCTATTAGAAGAAAAGTGGGGAAGAGTCTTGACCTCACTGGCGCAGTAGACAACTTCCTGAACAGAACACTAACTGCATAGGCTTTAAGATCAACAATCAATAAATGGAACCTCATGAAACTGAAAAGCTTCTGTAAAGCAAAGGACACTGTCATCAGAACAAAATGACAGCCTACAGACTGGGAAAAGATCTTCACCATCCCTACATCTGAGGGAGGGCTAATATCCAGAATATATGAAAAACTTAAGAAGTTAAATATGAGCAAACCGAGTAATCCAATTAAAAAATAGGGTACAGAACTAAACAGAGTTCTCAGCAGAAGAATATTAAATGACAGAGAAACACTCAACAGAGAAATGTTCAACATCCTTAGTCATTCGGGAAATGCAAATCAAAATGACCCTGAGATTTTACCTCATATCCATCAAGAGTGGCTAAGATCAAAAACTCAAGGGATGATGCATGCTGGAAAGGATGTGGAGACGGAAACCCTCATCCATTGCTGACAGGAATGTAAACTTGTACAACCACTTTGAAAATCAATCTGGTACTTCCTCAGAAAATTAGGAATAGTGCTACCTCAAGATCCAGCTATACCACTCCTTAGGCATATACCCAGAAGATGCCCCACCATTCAGTGAGGACATTTGCTCAACCATGTTTGTAGCAGCTCTATTCGTAATAGCCAGAATCTGGAAACAACCCAGATGTCCCTCAACAGAGGAATGGATACAAATTGTGGTACATTTACACAATGGAATACTACTCAGCATTTAAAAACAAGGAAATCATGAAATTTGCAGGCAAATGGTGGGAACTAGAAAAGATCATCCTGAGTGAGGTAACCCAGAAGCAGAAAGACACATATGATATATGCTCATAAGTGGATTTTAGCCATATAATATAGGATAAACACACTAAAATCTGTAGCCCTAAAGAAGCTATGCTCATAAGTGGATTTTAGCCATATAATATAGGATAAACACACTAAAATCTGTAGCCCTAAAGAAGCTAAACAACAAGGAGGAAACTAGGAAAAACACTTAATCCTCATCTAGAAGGGCAAGCAGGATAGACATCTGAAGTAGAAGACAACAGGACAGGAGCCTTCCACAGAGGACCTCTGAAAGACTACCCACCAAGGTATCGAAAGAAATACTGAGACTTATAGCCAAAGTTTGGCCAGAGTGCCAGTATTTTTATGGAAAAAGAGGGAGATAGAAAGACCTGGAGGGGACAGAAACTCCACAAGGAGAACAATAGAGCCAAAATACCTGGGCCTAGGGGACCCTGCAAAGACTGATACTCCAACTAAGGACCATGCATGGAGAGGACCTAGACCCCCTGTTCAAAGGAAGCTCATTGGCTGCTCAGTTTCCAAGTGGGTGCCCTTGTAAGGGGTACAGAGGCTGTTTCTGACATGAACTCAGTGACCAGCTCTTTGATCACCTCCCTAGCAGGATGCAGCCTTGCCAGGCCACAGAGGAAGATGATGCAGCCAGCCTTGATGAGACCTGATAAGCTAGGGTGAGGTAAAAGGAGAGAAGGTCCTCCCCTATCGGGAGTAGGGAAAGAGCATAGAGGGAGAAGAAGGAGAGTGGGTGGAACTGGGAGGAGACAAGGGAGGGGCCTGCAGGGAAAATACAAAGTGAATAAATTATAATAAATATCTAAGTAAAATTTTTTTAAAAATGAACTCTGTAGTGTATAGAGAGCCACAAAGATAGCAGTTCCATTAAACTACAGGAGGACACCCTGTCAGATTGAAAGGGCACATCTGGTACAGAAATAATCAGCCAGCATGCCTTTCTTTCAGAACTGGAATTCATGAGATGAACAAAAACTCCTTAATGAAGTCATCTGCATAGTGACAGGTATTAGATTGCATTTAAACATTACCCATAACCCTTACTATTTTAAGATAGTGCAGTTCTGCCCTGAGACTTTGAAGCTAATCTGAATACAATCTGCATCCTGCCATACTGTTAAGAGTGGGAGCAGAAGGGACGGCAAGATGGCACAGTGGTTATGAGCTATTCCAGAGGACAGCTTCCAGGGCCTGTATTGGGTTGCCCACAACCACCTGTAGCTCCAGCTGCAGGGAACCAGGCACTCTGGCCTTTGTGGGTATCCACACTAATGTGCACATACCCACACAGAGACATATACTTAAAAATAACTGAAAAATGAGCCTTAAGCCAGAAAAAAAGAAAAGTGTTGGACTTGGACTTGAATTGATTTTAGGTGTTTAGGGGCTTAAAGTTTACCTTCTCTTGGAATTGGAAGAAATGAGTTTTATATGCTCATTGTTAACTTTCTTAACTGAAATTAATTTTTCACAAGATGTTTTCATATAGGCATTTGTTCCTTTTATCCTGCTTAAAAGGTATATATTGTGGGGAAAGTGAAAAGAGATTACAAACAAAATAAGTAATTGTGGAATCACTGCACATTAAATTACAGAGCAACTGGCAAACATCGACTGAGCATTTACATTCTTTACTCTGAGCAATCTCAACTGTTCTATACATCAGACATGGAACGAACATAATTTCATGTTCTCCAGTGACCTTTACATATCATCGTAGCTGTGTCTTCCTTCTTCAGTACTTCTTCAGACATTTGTCTGGCTTAAATTTGAAAGTATTCTTACTGCTGTATTCAGAATGGGCTTGGGAGCGCAATTCTAGACAGGGGTAGAAAGGGGCCATCAAGCGCTGCAGGTGAAAATGACCACAGCTTAACATTGTGGCAGTGGTGAAGTTTGTTAATTGGGTCTCAAGTGAGCAACACAGAAATCAGGGTTTTTAGTCTGAGTAGTGGAAGAGAGAGTAGGTTGAGGGAGAAGACCGGCATGAAGCTGTGAGTGTTACAATGTGGAAGCTTATTTGGCTTCCAGGTAAAGATGCCAGTTTACTTGGGCTGGCTCTTACGTGTGTGTGTGTGTGCATAATAAAAAACATTCTTGAGATACCAAAGGAGCACAGAATGAAAATGTGGGCATCTCTGCTTTAGAGATCTGTGCTAACAGAGCAGTTTGCCTTTTATCTTTGCCCATTCTGGAAAGTTTGAGTTCTTATTTTAAATATGATCAGATTACATGTATTTGATAAAATGTCGAGATACACACATTGAATAAGTCTATCTTAAGTAAAACAAACTTAATGTGCGTGATTTTCTTCTTTCCTCCGTAGGGATGGTCTGAATATGCGTTGTCTGGCGGCTCGCATCAGCTATAGGACTTTGATTGTCATCTGTGCGCTCTTCGCTTTGGTCACAGTCCTTTTGTGGAATAAGTGTTCGAGCGACAGAGCAATCCAGTTTCCGCGGCACTTGAGCGGTGGACTCGGAGTGGATGGGTTAGAAAAAAGAACAGCAGCATCCCAAAGTAACCACTATGCCTTCCACGTGCCCAAGCAGCAGTCGGAGGAGGCGTTTCCTCAGGAGCAACAGAAGGCACCCCCTGTCGTTGGGGGCTTCAACAGCAACGGAGGAAGCAAAGTGTTAGGTCTCAAATATGAGGAGATTGACTGTCTCATAAATGATGAACATACAATTAAAGGGAGACGAGAGGGAAATGAAGTTTTTCTCCCATTCACTTGGGTAGAAAAATACTTTGATGTTTATGGAAAGGTGGTTCAATATGATGGCTATGATCGATTTGAATTCTCTCATAGCTATTCCAAAGTCTATGCACAGAGAGCCCCTTACCATCCTGATGGTGTGTTTATGTCCTTTGAAGGATACAATGTGGAAGTCCGAGACAGAGTCAAGTGTATAAGTGGAGTTGAAGGTTGGTATCTAGTTGTTGTACCTGGATTTTTCTAGCTTGATTGTGTTAAGGACTAAGAAACAGAAGATGTTAGTTACACAGACACTATATAGCTTAATGGGAAGAGACCTTTCATTGTTGCTCTGTCTCAGCAACAAGAAACAGGCCAAGTGTAAATCTATTGAAGCTTTCCATTTGGTGTGATTTAAGGGCAGCAATAAGACCAGACTGAATAAATAGGATTATTCCATTAACCTGCCTCAGAGTCTCATCAGTGAGGTCAAGGCACCAATCTCTAGAAATTGTACTTCAAAATAATAAAGTTACTGAGCCAGAGATGTGGCTCAGTGATAAATCATTTCTCTAACATATGCAGGGCCTAGAGTTAAGTCCCAACTATCACAGAAACACATATATGTAGCAGTAAAAATTGTACCAATACAGGGAATAGATGGGCAGCGAGATCCAGGCTATGGTAAGCTTTTTAACTAACACCTATATTATTTCTCCAAGGTATAATAATTTCCCAGTGTTAAATATTTCATCACTTAGTAAAAGGTCAGCAGGTGTGTGTGTGTGTGTGTGTGTGTGTGTGTAATCTTTTTTAAATGGGTCATTACAACGATGTACAATAATGTGTAATCAGTGTGAGAATTAAGATTGATCAATGGAACACACCATGAAAGCAGAAAAAAAGATTCAAAGTTGTAGATAACCCTAAAACCTTCCCCAGAAGTGCAGCAGTAAAGGTTAGTCCTCAGAATGCCTCCTCAGTGTCTGGGTTTAGTGATTCGTTGTTTGTTTCTTATAGGTGTGCCATTATCTACACAGTGGGGACCTCAAGGCTACTTCTACCCAATCCAGATTGCACAGTATGGGCTAAGTCATTACAGCAAGAATCTAACCGAGAAACCCCCTCACATAGAGTTATACGAGACAGCAGAAGACAGGGACAGAAACATCAGACCTAATGAATGGACTGTGCCTAAGGGCTGCTTCATGGCCAGTGTGGCTGATAAGTCTAGATTCACCAATGTTAAACAGTTTATTGCTCCAGGTGAGTTTCATAGTGTGTGTCTCTTACATTGAAGTTGATTTAACAAACTGGTGTACTTGTAAAATTTTTAATGATTGTTTAAAACAGAGTAATAAGTTCTTTTTTTGTTGTTGTTGAGTCTACATCCTGGTTGTAGCCCTATCCCTTCTCCTCTCCTAATTCCACCTTCCATCCCTCCCCCCCCCCTTCACCTATTCCTCAGAAAAAGGGAGCTCCCTTTCCCATCTAGCCCAGCTCATCAAGTTGCATCAGGACTGAGCATGTCCTCTTCCCCTGTGGCCTAACAAGGCAGTCCCGCCAGGGGGAAGGGATCAAAAAGCTGGCAAGAGAGTCTATGTCCACTGCAGTTCCCACATCCCTTTACTTGAGGACCCACATGAAGCCTGAGCTGCCCATCTGCTACATGTTTGTAGGGGGCCTAGGTCCAGTTCAGGCATGGTCCTTGGTTGATGCTTCAGTCTCAGCAAGCTCTTTATGTTATATAAATAAATGATGTTATCTAAGTAAAATCTTCCCAAAACAGAACTGGGGGTGGGGGGAGTCAGAAAAGGAGAATTAACTATGTGAAGAACCAAGCAGTAGAGTGATGCTAAAATGTGGATATGGCTGTTGTTTGCTTCTTGTGGTCTGTATACCCCAGAATGAAGTTCTTTGGTTTGGTTTAGTCTTTGGAACTAGAATCTCACCTAGGACTTTGTACATACTAAGCAAGCATTCTGTTACTGAGTACATCTGGCTTATTATAATATGTTGGCACAACAGAGTTGAATTTTTAAGTTCTGCCCTAAGTTAAATTTTGTTTTAACTGCAAGAGCCATCCTTTCCTTTGCATATTTTAACCAATATAATTTTATTTTTGTCAAAAAAAATTATAGCATTAATAGGCCTATTCTTATACTGAATTTTGTTAATGTACTAAATTATATGAAACTCCATATAAAACCATTTACATTAATAAAATCATTTATAAAATCAAATTAACCTTATGCAACATTTCCCTTTTACTAAGACAGTCTCATTAATTAGGATGTAATGTATTTTCCTGTACTAATCAATATCCATGAGAATTAATGAGTCCATTACTTTAAAAGACAAAGAAATAATCTTAGTACCTCAGGCTTCATCTTGATGTTGTCAGATTCAGAACTCATTTCCCCTTCCTCCAACCTGGAGTAGGTGAATAAAAGAAAAGAAAGAGGATGAGACCTCCTTTGTATTCTGTATTTTCTCCTTGTGCTTTACTGATGAAAGATCTGGGAAGCCGCAATACAAATCTGCTCATCCTTCATAGCCTTGAATGATGCCTCTAGGAGTTCAGTGCAGTGCAAAGAAGGGAACCTTCAGTTTTTATTGAGACTAGAACGCCTTTTCTCCCATGATATTTGTGGTACTGCAGTATGTACATGGTCTTAGCTTGTTACAGGACAGCTACCATGGCTGGGTGTGAGGACACAGGGAAAGCTTCAGAACAGCTGCTTACACCTAGAAAGTTATTGCAACAGGAAATTACTACATGAAGCAAAAAACGTGGTTTTTGGTGAACCCAAGGAGTTTCATTTTACATTGATAGTGTTGTCTAGAAAATTGCACCCTTCACCCGGTCTGTATGGTCTAACTCTGTCCTGTTGAAAGCAGCAGATTTCATTGATGCTTTTAGATGCCTTGGTGAATGCAAAGGTCGATTCACACATCCTGCAGTGACACCTTAGCCTGTCATTCATTCAGTGGCCAGATGCTAGGGATAAACTACTTTTTGTGTGGTTTCAAGCACACAGAGAACTGTTGACAGCCATGTTGTTAGGAGGGTTGGTAAGTCTGGTAGCTGGGAGTGGCATGTGTATGTACATGTTACTTGCATGTTCCGGGAACTGCACTGTGATGGTGATGGAGCTTTGTGGGAAACAGTCTAAGGCATGTGGCTGAGAAATTGAGACTTGTCTTTAAAGCATAGGTGTTAGACCATCCAGATTGGGTAAAGGGAGAACCAGAGGTGATTTTTCTTTCTTGGTCTTTTTCCTCAAAGGAGTTTGCTTTCCCCAAAAGGAACAAAGTCCCCTTGAGTGAAGAACTGTTTTATAAGCCAGATGTGTAGAGCACCCATGAGCGTAAACCGCAGCACTTAGGAAGCAGAAGCAGAAGGTCATCACCTCCAGAGCAGCCTAGACTGCATAGTGAGACCCTGTAAGGGCGGCCCTGCTTTCCTTGTAGGCCATGTAAATACGCTTTTGTTTTAATACCAAGTGTGGGACTTTAGTTGGGCTGTAGTTGTCCTCACCTGTTAATCGTCTCGTGCAGAGTGTGGCTTTTGCCAGCTGGTAACGGCCTTCCATATGAGGCACGGAGAAGGACATGGTCTAGGACCCTGAAAATATAAATATGAGATGGAGAAAAAGACGCAGTAGCATTTAGTGTGGTATTCCATGTGGTGAGGAGCGGAGAGACCGGAGGAGACGGACGGTGTTGCAGTTTAGAGAGATGCTTTGGGGTGCGGTGGCGTGGAGACTGCTAGCCTCACCTGTGGTTGACAGATTGGTGTACAGAGAGCTGTGAAAGGACCCCTTGGCCCTAAATAGCCAAGAAAAGTAAAGGGGTCTGGGCCCCTCTTCCCATTAACCTTTTCTCTCTCCTACTTAAGGTGGGGGTGTTGGTAGAAGAGAAGTAGAGGCCTAAACACCCCAAATAAAGTAGAATTTTTAAAAAGATCACTACAGGTGGCTTTCCGCTACAAGACCCTGCCTGAAAATCAACACACGTGGAGGGGGATTTGATAAGTCTGCTGTGCGGAGTATAACTTTGTCCTGTGTGATTCGTAGGACAGTTAGGAATCCTATAGTCTAGCAGCTAATTGAGCTTAAGCTCCAGGTTTCATTTTACTGAAAAGGAGGAGAGTACCAGTTAGAGAATGAATGCATGATGACACTTTGACAGGTAAAGTGGATTTTGCTGAACTAAGTTTTTACTGTGGTCAATTTTTAAAACATCACCCTGACATTATTTGATTCATAAGTCTGCTGTGGTATTGTCATTCTTGATACAGTTTTCATAACTGCTCTATCAAAGGAAGTCATTAAGAGCTTTGGGCTGTGTGTATCCATACTGGCAGAATACAGCACTGAAAGGCTCCACTCCATCTGATGCAGTCCAGGCTGATCTGATCTTTGCTCCTGTGACGCACAGAATATCCTCTCAAGGTCTACTGGAAGCAGAGGTCTGCTTTTATGGCTAGGTCTGAAAGAAGGAACCTCCATTTAATATTGTTTTGAGCATAGATTTTCAGTGTCATTTGTCTTCCCTGCAGTCTCTGTGCTGCAGAAACCTAGATTGTAGTCCATGCTATACTAGTAGCTGTTTAACCTCACAAAATCTATATATCTTCATCTTTAAAGCAGAAACAATTCATGTTTTACCAACCTCAGGACCTGCATGTGGGCATGTTTGGGAAATTTAAGCCATGTAAAGATTAAGATGTTCATATTTCTCCTTTGATGGTTTATAATTTGTGCTGCAAGTATTGTTTATGTGATGTGAAGTAATGTGTGTGTGTTATTCTTGCTGCTACTTGATTTTAATAGGCACAGTGTCTTTTGGTAACTGTTAGGTGAGCATCATTTAAAGGGTCATCTTGCTGAGAGCCAACCATCCCTGTACTCTGGCCATACAAGAGAAGTTTTGTATTTCATAAATGCCAAATAGAACAGCTTTTACCATTTTATTAGCATGTGGTAATTGGTGACAATAATCACCATCATTTGTCACTGTTCTAAGCCAGTGTCTTTTTTAAATTGTCTAAATTACACTGCAAAGTGAATATTATCTCTGCTAACACCCAAAACTGGAATTTGGAAAGGTCTGTTTTACCTTTTTAGAGCTCTGGCAGGACAGGAATTGCGAAAGGTTTTTTCATTCCTAAGTATATTCTCCCCTTCCCTCTTTTTGTCTTATACATGAGCCATTGTTTAATTTCCAGTCATTTTGTTCTCAGTTCCAGAGACTATAAGAAACAAACATCGTTTTCAATATTAAGTTAAGAACCGGGCTGGACATTCTGGGTTCTCTTGTTTGTGTTTGGCAAGTATCAGCTGAGATACTTTACTGTGTGTCTCAGTTACACATCTGAAAGTGGGAGTGAAGCCGAGCATATTCACAGCTAAGCGGGCTTGTCAAGCAAGGTCAGCAATGGAAGACACTTAGAATATCAGGCAGTAAACACAAACTGCATTAGAAATGAAATTTTATACGTAGCTGTCTGTCTAAAACTTGAACCCTCTTGTAACAGTATGCATTGAACCAGCTTTTGACTATTTTTTCGCCCTTTTATGGAATAAGTGTACTAGAATAATAGTGATTCTTGATCAGGCATCTGGTCTAGAAAAGACAGTTTTATCAGCTATTCTTAGTTATTTGCCCTGAATCTTTTCTGTAAACCAGAGGCAAAGGTAAGGAGAAGCCATCATGAAATCACCAGATTTGCTACTTAGCAAAAATCTGGAGTTAATTTTGTGTGGTCAGTAGTTGTCAAGGATAAACTGAAATTAAATTTTAAGTATAAAAATACTTTTATTCTAACCAGTCCTTGGTCTGTCCCCCACAGAAACCAGTGAAGGTGTGTCTTTGCAGCTGGGAAACACAAAAGACTTCGTTATTTCATTTGACCTCAAGCTCTTAACGAATGGGAGTGTGTCTGTGGTTCTGGAGACCACAGAAAAGAATCAGCTCTTCACTGTGCATTACGTCTCAAACACCCAGCTAATCGCTTTTAAAGACAGGGACATATACTATGGCATTGGGCCCAGAACTTCGTGGAGCACAGTTACCAGAGACCTGGTCACTGACCTCAGGAAAGGAGTGGGTCTTTCTAACACAAAAGCTGTCAAGCCAACCAAAATCATGCCCAAAAAGGTGGTTAGGCTGATTGCAAAAGGGAAAGGATTCCTGGACAACATTACCATCTCAACCACAGCCCACATGGCTGCATTCTTTGCGGCTAGTGACTGGCTAGTGAGGAACCAGGATGAGAAGGGTGGATGGCCAATTATGGTGACCCGGAAGTTAGGAGAAGGCTTTAAGTCTTTAGAGCCAGGGTGGTACTCTGCTATGGCACAAGGGCAAGCCATCTCTACCTTAGTCAGGGCCTATCTTCTAACAAAAGACCTTGTATTCCTCAATTCAGCTTTAAGGGCAACAGCCCCATACAAGTTCCTGTCCGAGCAGCATGGAGTTAAAGCTGTGTTCATGAGTAAACATGACTGGTATGAAGAATATCCAACTACACCTAGCTCTTTTGTCTTAAATGGCTTTATGTATTCTTTAATTGGGCTGTATGACCTAAAAGAAACAGCAGGGGAGAAGCTTGGCAAGGAAGCAAAGTCCTTGTATGAGCGAGGCATGGAATCTCTGAAAGCCATGCTGCCCTTGTATGATACCGGCTCTGGGACCATTTATGACCTCCGCCACTTCATGCTGGGCATTGCTCCCAACCTGGCCCGCTGGGACTACCACACCACCCACATCAACCAGCTGCAGCTGCTCAGTACCATCGATGAGTCCCCAATCTTCAAAGAATTTGTGAAGAGGTGGAAAAGCTACCTTAAAGGCAGCAGGGCAAAGCACAACTAGAGCTCGAAACCAAAAGTGCATTCCAGCCTCTTCTGAACTCAAGGGCTGAGCTCTGTGTCAGCAGCAGAGCTCAGCAGCGCGTCGCACATTTTAAAATAGCTTGTGTTCTGGGTTTGTGGGTCATAGCAACGTGAGAAGAAACCCTTAAAGTTAGTCTTCTGAAACAATTGCATTCCGTGGGTCAGGTGCTTAGAAATGTAGGCGCGGAAAGTGTTCAGTCAGTACGCTGAACAAAGGTGTGATTCGGCCTCCATGCAGAGTTGCTCTGGGTCTGTGCGAGATGATGGTAAGGTGCTGCTGCTAGCCTGCTGCCGAGCACTTACCTCCGACTTCGAGTGGAGTGCTTTTAGAATGTGATTATTTATATTTATATGAAAGCAGGCTTTTAGAGAACTGTGCGCGCAGCCTGGATCGTGAACCGTGTTTTTAAAAACTGTTTCCTTCCCGTAGATTGATTCCTGGGAGGGAGTAAGCATTGGTTGCATTTTTGTTCAATTGTATATGAAAACTATTTCGAATTATGGTTTTCTTGAACTGTGTATATTTAAGCATAGCCTGTGTTCAGGTTTCATGGTCACATAACATAAGCACAACTGAAATGAAACTTGCTGACTGCACAAGAAATTACAGACATGCTATGTTTATAAACTCGATCTACAATCAGTAAGAAATTACAGACACGCTATGTTTATGAAACTCGATCTACAATCAGTAAGTGTGATAATCGTCTTCCCCACCTCTCTTCCCAATGCACTGCGTCTCTGTCACTATCTATAATGTTGCATTTCATTTCCGGGATACTTCAGTAATTTTGTCCACTTAGAGGACATTACCTAGAATATTACTTATAAGCTTAAATTTGTGACAGACCTAATCATGATTTGAAGCTGATCACCAGTTCCTTTTAGGACGTTTCTCCCTTAAAAGAAAATTGCCAGGTTAAATGTTACATTTAGGAGTCAAAGTAAAGTTCTTCCTGCCCAGATTGTCACCATCACTTTTCATATCGTTGCACACTGTTTCTCAGCAGCGTGATTTTGAATGACTCACGCGTTGAAATAGAAAAGGTACTGCTGTCTGTTGGTGTGTGCCGTCACATCTGTAAGTGGGTGTCAGAGTCCTCATGCCATGGGCAGTGTCTCTAGGGCTTCAGGCATTTGGTAAAAGCAACAGGGATAGGTTTTGCTCTGGTTTTTGTTTAAGGTGTGATAAAATGGAGACAGATAGGTAATGTGAGCCTCACACAATTTCTAGGGACAAACAACGGAGATTACTCATGCTGTCTTGTCAGAGGCACATTTAAGAGCCAGGTGGATGATCTGCCTACACATTGTACTTCCGTTGAATTCGGCTACCAAATACTGCTGAAACAGGAATATATAAATAATGCATATATACACATACATATGTAAAAACATATCAGCATCAAAGGAGACAGGAAAGAAGATCTCTACTGAAGACAATATTAAGCTGTTGAAAAATAAGCCTAGACTCCCAGTTTATATGCCCACACCTTAATTTTGTCCACAGTGAAACCAGTGAGGTCATTAGGTTCCTCAGCTTTTACTACTGCTGTGGTTCTCACACACTAGATGTTTCAGCAACATCCGAACATGCACATTTTGTCTCAGCAATAAAAATGAGGACTCCCTTTTTACTTTCAGTACCTATGTTCAAAACAGGCCTGCCCACCTGGGAACAGTGTTCGCTCTATCAGATTTGTTGCTGGAGTGGCCCCGGCTTCTGCTCTCTGTTCGCATGTAGGTCTTCAGATGAGAGGAGTCAGTGAAATCATCCCGGTACTGCTTTTGTGACAAACACCAGTGCCTTACCCATGTGGTTGTCCTTTTCTACTGAAGAGGGAAGGTTTTTGTTTTTTTGTTTTTTTGTTTTTTTTTTTTGGATGTAGAAATAACAGTTCACTGCTGTTGCTTTTCCACTGCCTTCCACATTGTAACAGCTACTTGTCTTGAGATGCCAGAATTCCCTAAGAGGTCACATGGAGCCTATGACAGTGACAGCACTGTTCGTGCTTGGCTTGTCAGACTTGAGGATGCTTCTGTGACACTTGGGGGTTCACAAAAGTGAGACTGTAGGTGTGCAGAAAGTCTGCCTCTGAAGTGGGATCCATAGCATGCTTAACAGGTAGGCGATGCTGCTTTGGGGGAGCTGGGTGTATGTGGAGGAGCACTGCCCGGGACCCATGACAACATTACCTAGGTTTTTAAATCGTGTAAATGTTTACTTATCCTGAGTCTAGAGAGAATGGGGCGGGTATTTTAACTTTTTGTTGTGTTTCTTTAAAATTTTTCTTCAAAGGTACTGATTTGGTTCACTTTTCTGAGTTAGCTTCCATATTGAATCTGTTGCCATTTCAGTAGTAAAACAGCCAAAAGTTTCTAGACAAAGGGCAAGTTTGGCCCTTTAGGAGTTACTGTATATAACGCTTCATTCAAGAGCACGCAGCATCCATGAGCAAGTGCAGAAATGACACAAGCACTCTCCAGATGTGGCGGGCCGCTCTCTTTGTTGGTGTACAGGCTCACCAAAAGCTGCTGGTTTTGTTCTTGTAATTGTTTCCTCGCTTCTCCATTGTACATGTGGGGTATATGCCATGTGTCAAATATGCAATAATGTGTTTACCGGATGCCCCTCTGGAGGGTGGTCCTCTGTAAAGCTGTACAGCCTTTGCAGTTCAAGCACAATGTGCACATGTTAGTTTTCTATACAGCGGAACTTGATTTTTTCAAATTGAAAGGTATTTTGTTTCTATATAAAGTTTAATGGGTTGTTTGTGCTTAATGTAAAGCTGCTTTATAAAATTGTAAAATAAAGTTTTTATCTTGAAAAGGAATGTACTTAGATAGTTCTCTTTATTCTGCTTAGTTTGTGATGATGTGAGCCCAGCAAGCATTTGACCAACATTTCCTGTTGAACTTGCGGATAGGGAACCAGAGTATAACACAGGAGCCTTAATCTGTAGGGAACCAGAGGACACTGGACACATTCAGATAATAAAGTGCTGCCCTGTGCTCAGTCAGGGGCTAAAGCCCAAGCTGGAGCTCTAGGGTGAGGACAAGTAGAAGAATGGAGGAGCAGCTTGAACAAACACTTGGGTACCCAGCTGGGTGTGAGCATGCCCTCCCTGTGGCACCTTCTCTCCTATTAAGGCTAGATGAGGCGGCCCAGCAGGAAAGGGTCCCAGAGGCAGGCACTGAGTCAGAGATAGCCTCTGCTCCCACAGTTAGAGGAGTCCAACAAGAATTCCAAGCTACCCAACTGTAATATATGCAGAAGACCTAGGTCAGTCCCATGCAGGTGCTCTGGTTATTGGTTCAGACTCTAGAAGCCCAGGTTAGTTGAATATAGAAGAGCCCAGGTTAGTTGAGTCTGTGGGTTTTCTTGTGTCCTTGACCCCTTTGGCTCCTACAGTCCCTCCTCCCCATCTCCCACAGGATTCCCCAAGCTCTGCCAAATGTTTGGCTCTGGGTTTCTGCATCTGTTCCCATCCGTTGCTAGATGAAGCCTCTGATGACAATTTGGCGAGGCACCAATATGAATATAGCAGAATATGGTTTCATTGAATTTTCCCCAGTCATGTTTGGTTCTATCCTATGTCTCTGGCTCTTGGCCCTCTACGCAATGTCGGGTAGACCCCCTCTTATGGTATGGGTCTCAAGCTGGACCAGTCATTGGTCGGCCACTCCCAGAATTTCTGCACCACCTTTACCCCAGCATGTCTTATAGGCATGGCAAATTGTGGGCCTAAGGTTTTGTGGCTGGGTTAATGTCCCAATCACTCCACTGGAAGTCTTGCCTGTTCAGACTCTGTGTTTCCCATTGCCAGGATTCTTCATAGGGTCACCCTCATAGACTCCTGGGAGTTTCTATTGCTCTAGGTTGCTAGCTTGTCCCAGACATGACCTCCCCACCCCCATTCCAGTTGTGTCTCCCAGGTTTCTCCATCCTTCCCACCACCTGAATCCTCCTGTTCCCATCAACCAGCCACTTCGGAAATCAATACGGTGGTTTCTCAGAAATTTGGGAATTGATCTACCTCAAGACCCAGATCTACCACTCCTGGGCATATAAACAAAAGATGCTCCACCATACCACAAGGACACTTGCTCAACTATATTCATAGCAGCTTTATTTGTAATAGCCAGAAACTGGAAACAACCTAGATGTCCTTCAACAGAAGAATGGATAAAGAAAATGTGGTACATTTACACAATGGTATATTGCTTAGCTATTAAAAACCATGATATCATGAGATTTGAAAGCAAATGGATGGAACTAGAAAAGATCATCCTGAGTGGGGTAATTCAGACCCATAAAGAATGATATATTTCACTTACAAGTGGACATTAGCTGTAAAGATTAACCATGCTACAATCCACAGACCCAGAGAAGCTAAGTAACAAAGAGGGCTCAAGGGGTGGGGCTGGGGGAAGCATGAATCTCACTTCGAAGGGGAAATAAAATAAACATCACAGGTGGAGGGGTTTCTGGATGGGGCAGAGATCCTTAGGGCTCAGGCAACAAAGCTCACTGGCTCACTACCCTGTCAGGAACTTTGTCTTTGATCTCATGAATTCTGATTCTCTTATAGTACTGTCCAGAGGAGAACCCACACTTCTTAAAATGGTTGTTTTGTTGCTCTTACAGAGGACTGAAGTTCAGATCCCCTCACATAAGTCAGGCAGCAAACAACCACTTGTAACCAGCTCTGAGGGATCTGATGCCCTCTTCTGCCCTCTGCAGGAACTGCACTTACACATACGTACATACGCTCAGACATGTATATGCACGTAATTACAAATAAACCTCTACTGGAGAGAAAACAGTTAAAAGCACTTCTTGCTCTGGCGGAAGACCTGAGTTTGATTCCCAGCATTCACATAGTGGCTCACAACCATCCACAACTCCAGTTCTAGAGGATCTGATGAATGCAAGTGGCACCCTCACATGGATACAGATAAAAATACAATGCAATAAGAAACTTTAATAAGATAAATATGTTTTTGCAAGTATTTTTAGGACTACAGAGATGGATCTATGGCTAAGAGTGAATGTTACTCTTTCAGAACAACTAGCACCCATGTGACAGCTCACTACTGCCTGAGACTCTAGATCAAGAGGATCCCACACCTCTAGCCTCCAAGGGCATCCACACACATAGGACATACATGAACACATAAATTAAAACTAAATATTATTTAGTTTTAAAAATAAGCTAGTATAAATGACTACATTTTTATTTTGAATACAGAATTGAGAGATAACTTGTAGTAAATAAAAAAATAGTATTGGGTCTATAATGTTTATTATTAGCCCTACGATTATCACAGTGGTATTATTTAATCCACTATCACAAATAATAAGACACAGACACCTGTTAGAGTTTATAATTGCCTTATTTACCTTGGGCCGGGCAGATATTTCACTTACACTGTCTCAATAACCTCACCATCCACCTCCCAGCCCCTCTCCAATACCATCCTCAACCATCCTCATCTGAGCCATCTTCCATCCATAATCTTATAAATACTTGCTTGTATTCTTTATCTGGGCCTTTTCATGCCACTATTGGAGCCCTTCCTCCAGGCCCATGTGATTTCTTCTCCACACTAACCCATCGTGACATCTTCCTCCCTCCTCTCTTCCCATCTCTCTGTCTTCCGTGATTCTCTCTGTCCTCTCTGAGCTGGGGGACCTTAGCCATGCCGACCCCATTCTGCCCTGCCCAGGTATAGGCAGCTCAATTAGCCAATCAGGTTGGTTTACACAACAAGGTTAGGCGTACCCAGATCTTGAGGGCTAGTAACACACATCAGACCAACCTCTAACAGATAATCCTAAAGCCACAGAGGGGCTGAGGATGACTCACTCAGTAAAGTATTTGCGGCATGAGTATGAGGCCCTAAGTTTGTATCCCAGCATACATGGAATAAGCTGGGCACTGTGGCACCTCTCTGTCTTCCCAGCACTGGGGAGGCAGAGACAGGAGGGTCTCTGGGCCTCCCTGGCCAGCCAGTCCAGCCGGTTATGCAGCTCCAGGTTCAGTGAAAGACCCTGTTTCTAAAAATAAGGTGCAAGTTGTTGAAGAAAATACCAGTATCTCGATGTCACACACACTTTCAGGTGCATGTGTAGTCACACACACACACACACACACACACACACACACGGCATAGAGTCATAGACAAGTACTTGAAAACAAGTAGTGAGCTTGTTTTTCTTTCCCCCTCCCGCCTTAACAGACAATATCAATGCTTTCTTTAACAGGTGTAGGTCACCTGGGGGGCCGAGCACTGGGTATCCAGGGTGAAGCCTCGAGGTCAGCGTAGCCTCTCCTTGCATGGGGCCTTTCTTGTTGCAGATACTGGCGTCACTGGTGTCAGTAATAAATTCCACATGCACCTGGATGCACTGTCCCTGCAAACTGTCCCTGGCCAGCATGTGGGCTGCATGTGACTCATGTCCATGATGGCAGCAATCTGACAGAGAGCAGGATTTTTTTCTTTCTTAATGACAATGTTTTGTGGGGTTTTTGCTGTTTGTTTAACAGCTTGTGGACAGGGCCTCACTTTATTCCCCTGCTGGCTTGGAACTCAGTATGCAGACCAGGCTGGCCTTGAACTCACAGAAATCCACCTTCCCTATGCTGCCTGCTTGTGGAGATTAAAGGCCTGTGCCACCACCATGCCTGTCACATACCTTTAATTTTTAATCCCAAGTTCTCATTTTTATAAACTGTTTAAAACAGTCAACAATCTAGGGATAAAACACTGATTTCCATTTTACCAGCCCATTAAGAACGTCAGGTTGAAATGGATGTGAATTTAAATGTTGTGTTGGTGATGAATTTGAATGTTTGTTGCTCTGTTTCTGGTGAAAAGAAATACATTTACCATCTGGAGCGAGTGATTGATCGCTCCCGTATGTAAACTGCGTTTCCTGAATGTTGAAGAGCAGCCACTCAAAGTTGCTAACCCTTCTCCAGGAGTAGAAGGATTTTGCAAAATGATAGCATTGCAGAAAGTCATTAAGGCGGGGTAACAGCAGCAAAGGGGCAGAGGAAAGTGCTGTGAGGGATAGAAGCTCCTACACGAGGCAGAGGGTTAGGCAGGGTGTTGTCAGGTAACCCAGAGCTCACGGCATCTGGGTCCCAGGAGCTGTTGCCTGCCTGGGATCTTGCTCTCAGATAAAAGTGAAGGACAGCTCTGCCCTCTTCGGGGGCCACATGTCATACATTAATGGCAGCAAAATTACAGCTATGAGGTAGTAATGAAAACAAGTTTATGGTTGGGATCACCACAACATGAGGAACTGTATTAAAGGGCTGCAGCGTTAGGAAGGCTGAGAACCACTGTGCTAGAGATTAGTCAGCTGGGAAAGGCTTGCTGTGAAAGCAAGAGAATCTTGAGTTTGAATCCCAGGCGAAGCTGGGTGTGGCGGTGCTTGCCTGTAATCTGCGGGGAGGAGAGACAGGTGGGTCCTTGGGGCTCAGTGGCCAACCAGCCAAGCCAAATCGGGGCGCTCAGTGAGAGACCCTGTCTCTATTCTTTAGTTATGTATTTATTTAGCTGGGCAATGGTGATGTAATCCGAGCACTTGTCAGGCAGAGGCAAGCAGGTCTCTGTGAGATCCAGGACTGCCAGGGCAATTATATAGAAACCCTGTCTTGAAAACCATAAATGATACATAAATAAATAGATAATAAATAAATAAAATTTTTGTTTATTTTTATTTTACGTATATCATGTATATCGATGTGTCCTGTGCACACCTGGAGCCCAAAGAGACCAGGAAAGGCTGCCAGACCCCCAGGAACTGGAGTTACAGATGGTT